ACGATCAGGATCATACTGAGCTAGAGCAGGCTCTGCAACGAACTTTTCCTTAAGCAAATTGAATGCTTCATTTTGTTCTTGGCCCCACTTCCATGGTGTACCCTTGCCTGTCAGAGACGTTAAGGGTGCGCAAATTCTCGAAAATCCCTTGATAAAGCCACGGTAGAAATTGGCGAACCCTAGAAATCCTCTGAGTCCTTTTGTCGTCGTTGGCGCTTCCCATTCTGATATTGCCTTAACCTTTGCTGGATCCATCTTGACCGAAGAATTCTCACCATTTGAGGATATGATGAAACCTAGATATTTTGTCTCTTTAACGCTAAACTCACACTTATCAATATCTAGCCCTAGTCCGGCTTTCTGAAGCTTTTCAAGAACCAGCTTTACGTGCCTTTGATGTTCTTTTTCATCTCCATTGGTGAAGATAAGTACGTCATCTACGTAAGCAGAACAGAAATCATCTAAATATTCACGTAATGCCTCGTTAGTGTATCTCTGGAAAGAGGCCGGGGCACCGTTCAATCCAAATGGCATGACAAGCCATTCAAACAACCCAAATCGTGTCCGAAAAGCCGTTTTCCACTCATCACCTTCCTTAATGCGCAACTTATGAAACGCAGCTCGTACGTCTAACTTTGTGAACCATTTAGCTCTGCTCAGTTTAGCAAGCGTTTCTTTAATTAAAGGCAAAGGATAGCGGTCAGCTTTTGAAATGGAATTCAAAGCACGATAATCAACACAAAATCGAAGACCCCCACCTGGTTTCCGAACAAAAAGTACTGGGGCCCCTGCTGGTGAACTACTGGCGCGAATATAATCCTTGTCAAGTAATTCTGTCAGGGTCTTCCTCAGTACCAACAATTCATCTCTTGACATTCCATATAGGGGGCCCCATGGTATTTTTTTATCAGGTTCAAGGCTAATTTCGTGATCGCACCCTTTCCGATGAGGTGGGAGTTTATCCGTTGATTCTTTGCGAAAAAGGTCTGAATATTTCTCATATTGCGTAGGAAGCCTTTCCAAGTTTGTAGGTGATTTCTTCGATGGTGCAAGCGCTTTCTGAATGTCTACAAGTGTTACAGAAAATAATTGGGTGGCGCTCGTTGATTTCCTGGCTTTCCTAACTGTTGCAAGGAACACACCTGCAGACAAACTTCTGATATTCGACCCTAGCTGTAGTGCATTTATCTTCGTTTGTAGACCTTTCTCCCAAACCCTGAGTGGCTGACCGTTCACAACAGCTTCCCTGATGTCCATGAAATGATCCTTTGCATTGTAAATAACATCTTCCCGTTCCATCCATGGTTTTCCAAGTATCAGGTCATGAGACAGCCCTGATATTACATAAGCAAACAAGGTACGTTGGTATCCGTCTATATCAAGTTCCATTTTAACCATTTCCGTGATAAGATCTTTGTGGTGGCGGTTTTGTGTAGCTTCGGTAAGCTTACGGGGACTTATTTTTGTCCGAGGAAGGTTAGCTTTGCGTACTAGGGAGTTACTAACGGCAGCTAGGCATTCGCATCCATTGTCAATCAAGGTAGGTACTGAATAACTTCCATTAATTAATGTGTCTATTATAAAAGACGATCCATTCATTGTGTACTCTACGTCGGTATCTTCAATCTGATTTGAGCCAACTACCATATTAGAAACTCCCTTTCCAGGCTCCTGAACACGACTTTGTTCAGGAGCTAACCTTTTAACTCACTTCCCACCACATTGAATTCTTCGGTACTTGCATCATTTTCTACAGAAGTGAAAGCTTGAACTGTGGTTTCGGGGCGTTTAGCTGGGAGTAGATGACAGTTGGCTATTATGTGCCCTTTCCTTCCACATCGCAGACATACGCCGTCTGCTTTCCGTTTGTTTAACTCAGTTTGTGAAACCCACTTTGCACGGACTTTGTTGACACCGGTCATCCTTGTGTCCCCATCTAAATCCTTGTTATTGGCGATATCTCTACTTGCTGGGTGATAAGGGGTTCCTTGCAAGGTTCCTCCGAGTAGTTTACCACCAGCAATTCCTCGTGTTCCATCATCAAAATACCCAGCCTGACCGAGTAAGTATTCTTTTGTTCTTGTCATACCAACCTCCTCAATTTCCGAACCTAGTGAAGACAGATATTCAACGAGTTCACGAAAGGTTTGTGGTTGCGAGCGACCGATCATGTGATTTCTTGTGGTTTTATTGAGCGAATTCTGAAGCTGGTACATCTTAATCTTATCATCTCCCGTAGAGCTGGGGCTTCGCGTGAGTAATTGCTGAAAACGCGGTAGGTACGACGACAAGCTCTCATCCCTGAATTGTCGGCATGCATGAAATAGCGCAGCCGCCGATTGTTCTTCGTTTCTATCGCGATAGGTGTCGTCCATGGCCTGTAATAATCCCAAAGCGTCCCATATTGCATCAATTGCAAGCATGTGTTGAAATTGGCCGGTGATCATGTCCTTGGCAGTCCCTGTCACCGCGTGGCTATACAGCTGCATGAAGAAATCTGATGGTTGCAAGATGTGTCGTTCCTCTACATCGCGCCGGTAAATATATCGAAGTATTCCGTGTGTGGTTGCCCATTTGCTCCTATCCTTATGATCGTAGGCTTCCGGCCACTTAAGTGGTTTTTCCTTGCCGGAGAGCTCCCTTCGTTCGGGTTGATGATTGTCATTAGCTTTAGTTGGTTTCAGGGGTACCTGGCCTTCACCCTGTGACTTTTCCTGCATCAGTAGCATCATCTGACTCATTTGAGATTGTAACATCTCCATTTCCCTCCTATAATCAATGTCTCTTCTCCCCATCTCTTCGACTATTGTCTCCATGTCCATTCGTGGTTTTTCTTGTGGCATTGATTCCTGGTCAGACAAACCAGATGCTACTAAGTCCGTTCCGATGTTAAGTCTATCCATATCTGGACCCGTTACCAGTTCTTCAAATCCCTGCGCTGATTTGAATGAGATCCTACTTTGACAACTTGATTGTCCAGAGCTAGATGCCTCGTCTGTTGATGTTGATGGTAGAGCAAACATTGGCATCAACTTCCTGTACAACCTCAACTTGATTAAGGTGCTTACTGACAAACACCTTTGATTATAGGATGCCCTAAGTCACTGTCAACTAGGACTGCGGTATACTTAATGACGGGCAAACGATGAATTGATACAGTTTATATTGTGACGGGAACCCCGAGTTGGTGATGATAATGTCGATTTAATAAACTGTATAAAGAAGAAAGAGAAATCTAGCTACAACTAGCGGGTATTTATAATATTCAGCCTTTCAGTGATTGTCTTGACTGATTTCTTCACCCTAGGCCGAATACTTGCCACCCAGCCACATATTATCAAGAATCACTACGCTGTGACACTGATCTGGCCCCTTGGCTGGTAGTGCCGTATCTTCCAGTTCCCTCTATCATTTCCTTACAGTCTTACAACATGAATCTTCAACAATACGCTTAGGTATCCACATAAGCTCAGACAACGGCCAAACCGTAACACTCTGCCTTTCTAGTATCCTTCCAACTCCTTCCCGAAAGTCGTGCTGAGATGTCAGAAAAGTCTTGGCAGATCGTGATTGCTGTATGGCAGCTTAGCCTAACTTCATTTTTGCCGTCCAGGCCGCTGGGGAGTGCCGTTGACTCATCAACAAAAGAAGCCCTCCTGGCTAATTAGCCGAAATCTTAGTCTTGGCGACCACAAAAATCCAAAGTTGAAAACTCCTCGAAAATATCAGTCCAGCATGCTCTTCAGAGACCTAATCCCCCTCTCGTTCTACATCTCAACCGCCCGTTCTTCCTCAAGTTGTTTCTACCATTAGAGCAACAGTCCCCCACAAGTCAAGACCCAAGCTTTGTATTTTTCGACTTGATTTCCTCCTTGCGGGTATAAATTGTGTCGTAAATATGTAGTGAGAGATGGTTGGAGAGTAATGGGGCAAGCTCCTGTTTGCAATTGGAGCAACTTCTTTATTGGTCGTTGTGGCGAGATGATGCGTGGTTAGAGATGGGTCGAGGACTCAGATGATAATGATGAGAGAGGCATTGTCGAGAAGTCGTCAAATGGAGATGTGCTTGAGGTTGCTTTCGATTTCGATTCGGATCCGATTCTTCTTGGCTATCTCAGATATGTAGAGCATACTGAGCGACTACACCAGCATCATTGGAAGGTGAAGAATTCGTCTTTGCCGGCTGCATACACATTAAATGATTTAAAAAAAAAATCATTCCACATGCCCCATCTTTTTAGCAGCGAGCCTAGTCTCTGCAGTGCTGAGCAATTGAGGCAAGCGCGATATCTAGATGCTTACAAACCCTAGTACTGACGCCATGTGAGTTCCCGTGCTTAACGACAGGGGCTGTAGACAATTTTTGATTTTACCAGTTGTCGCACTAGGGCACTGCTACGCCACCAACAAGACGAAACGCGAAGGAAAATACTTCTCAAATCTTCTGCAGGGCCGAATCGATGTATAATTTCTAGTTGTGTTTATCGACTCATATTTTCTCCATATTTTCTCGGGGGTACAATACGTGTCAATTCCTACGCCTTATGACTAGTCTATATTTCCTCCAACCCCTCTGAGCCAGAGAGAATTACACTTGGAATACTTGCAGGAAAAACATCAGGGTATATATGAATTGGCCCTTGAGCTCGTTCGTGGAAAATATGAGTTGGTTTTCGGCCGTATAACACCGGCTGTTCTAAGCAGTTTAATATTTTTTTTTCGAATACAGAAGTACCTCTCATGCGCGATAGCGGAAATATGCATGCTTCTCCCTGAGTGTCAGCTAGTAACTGGCGATTCATGTGCCACTATGCAGATAGCAGCTGCTGGCGGGTGGTATACACAAAAGCGTAGAATATCCAATTCTAGCTCATCAAAATGATATTATCAGACATCCCGTGATTTTTCGTGTATCATTTATACATACTACCGCCAAATTATCCACAATCTCTGTCGATATCACATCTTTGCTCGATTCTGCAGTTCCGGCTCAAGACACAATGTCCCGCGGAACAGTTCTTGTGACTGGGTATGTTGAGGACCACTTGACTCATTCATTAAACTGAAATTATATTTAATGTTTTATCAATCACCGCTCCCTAATCTTGACTTCGTGGCAAGAAAGCTAATTTTAATCTGAAAAATAGGGGCACAGGCTACATTGGCGCATTCACATCCTTAGCACTTCTTGAAAATGACTACAAGTTGATCATTGTAGATAGTCTCTACAATTCATCCAAGGTCGCACTTGACCGTATTGAGCTACTTTGTGGTCGGAGACCTGAGTTCTACCAAGTTGACATCACTGACGAAGAGGCGTTGTCTAAGGTATTTGCTACGCATCTAGATATACAAAGTGTCATTCATTTTGCTGCTCTGAAGGTCTCAAAATTTCTCAATTTTACTCATTCTGTCAGACCACAACTAATTCTAACAGGCTGTTGGGGAATCAACTGAAATTCCTCTCGAGTATTACCGTGTGAATGTTGGAGGAACGATCACTCTGCTTAAATGTATGACGAAATACAATGTTCACAACATAGTTTTTTCCTCGTCGGCCACCGTTTATGGTGATGCCACGCGTGTGCCCAACATGATACCAATTCCCGAACATTGCCCTATCGGCCCTACAAGCCCCTATGGTCGCACTAAGAGTATCATCGAGCTTATTATCACCGATCATATCGAGGCACAGAGAAATAATTTAAGGAAGGCTGGAAAGCCGAGTGAACAATGTAATGCTGCGCTACTTAGGTATTTCAATCCCGGAGGAAGTCATCCAAGTGGTCTCATGGGTGAGGATCCATTAGGAATTCCATTCAACCTCTTGCCTCTGTTGGGTCAAGTTGCAAATGGACAACGAGAGAAGATATTGCTTTTCGGTAACGGTATGAGTTTTACCATTCGCAGCAAACCAAGTTAAACATCATAGATTATGCCTCGAGAGATGGAACTGCTATCCGCGATTATATTCACGTCATGGACCTCGCCAAGGGTCATCTCGCTGCATTAAAGTATCTTCAAGAGAAGAAGCCTGGCGTCAAAGTCTGGAATCTAGGCACGGGTCAAGGCTACACTGTCCTCGAAATGATTAATGCCTTCAGTAAAGTTGTTGGTCGATCATTGAAATATGAAGTTGTCGCCAGGCGGGAAGGTGATGTATTGGACCTAACAGCCAACCCAGCTCGTGCGAACCAAGAACTGGGCTGGAAGACCGAGTGCTCTCTCGAAGATATCTGTGAAGATCTTTGGAAATGGGTCAGCAACAATCCAGAAGGCTATCGCCAAGATCCCCCTAAAGCGCTTGTTGAAGCTTGGAATAAGGAAAAGACCGAGATTCATTCGTAATTTATCTCATTCATCTCCAAAGCAAGATGAGCCGAGCAGAAAATTTTCAAATGAGATATTGATAACTATATTGTCAATAATGGAAGGCAATCTATCTTTTCTCTATTCTACTCATGTGAAAATGTATCAAGCATCTTTTCCCTATATTTTTTCTTGTAATTTTAGTCTTTTCTTACCGATCACTACATAGGACGTGTGGGTGCTTTCTTACTATAGGCTGAGGTAACCTATGCCTAGGATACAATATATACTCGCACGTCTCCTCTATAACTTTTCTTCAACAATACTTATCCTCACAAGTCTTCATTCGAAAATACACTTTGAGGCGCCTTTTGACTTTAATTATCTCTCCTTTTCATGTTCTACATCGCTGCCATTTTTCAGGACTGTGATATTTCGAGTACGATTGGCTATGCCGATAGAGTAGCTATTGTTAGGTTTGGAAAGAACGCGATGGAAGCTATTTCCCCAGTCCAAGGTGACTTCGACAACCTCGTCATTCTCGCCAGAGAACACAGGATCGAGTTTCACTCAGCAAATTCGGAACTTCTAGTGACTGGAGGACCTAGAAATAAAATCAATACGGCAGAACTTTCCATCATGGTCAAAGATTTTTGGGTCGAAAAGTCACCTCACATCCGGTGGCTAGGAATCTGACTGGAGTACAAGTTGAGTCTACGAGAATGGTCTGGAAAAGCCAATTGTCTAGTCTAATTACGAAATATCAACGGTGTAAAACGTGGTACAGCTTCCGGACATCTAATTAGTGTAGTATTGACTTGCGTTCTGACCATGATTATTTATGGTCCAGAAGCATGGTGGCCAGATCATACTCGAATAACAGCACATTGAGATAAAGAGTTCTACATTGGAGTAGTCTAGTTTATATCTCTTCTGGACCAAACTATCCCGAAAGCTTTCCGAGCAGCACTCCAAGCGTGTTATTCCACTAGAAATAGCGCTCTTTATCGAGAAGAAGGAACATTTCCAAAATCTATCATCCTACGGCAAAAGATCTTGCGGCCTGTAGCTCGCAAACGAGGAATTGATAACTAGCACCTGATAGGCCTTCGATCAACTGAGAGCCTGAAAGATTCAATGGGACGCTAGGTCTTAGATCTGGACAAATAGATCGCTTATTCAAGCAGCCAAAACGATACATGACACGCCTTCAAATTAGCATGCGTCATGCTTTGACAGCCGAAGACCTTATAGCTTTACTTCCCATACAGCTCCCCAGTTTCGACTACATGCAGTCGAGTAACAAAAACCAGTATAGGAAGCTTAAAACAATGGAAAGCTTGGGGGACTATTCTCAACACCTGTCAGTGGTGTCCCCTACGAACCTCCAGCTCTCACTGTAGAGTCTGCAGAGCCGAGATTGAGTAACAAAGCCCTCAATTCGACGAGGATTACCAATCGCTTTCGCGGTCTGTATCGTCTTCATCTCTCAACACATTCCCCTTATCACCATCACCATGAAGCTAACCACGATCAGATCAGAAGGTAGGGTCGGAGCCCTACTCATCACCAACCCTTGATCATGGAGGAGAAGCCGTCCGATGAGTTTCCGGAGCGTACCCAGCACCCGACACGGCGATGGTGGATTGGATCAGGTCGGCCTTGACTGTTACAAAGAAGGGAGATATAGATGAATATGCGCACCTCATGCGGTCCCGGTGTCTAGGCCTCGCCTAGTTGGGGCTGCAGGGGGGTTGAGACTTTTTCCCGCGCACGCAGTTTCCATTGCTACCATTTTTTTTTTGGTAGAAGGTTCCGTGGAAAAGGGGGCCGAATTCCACGGGTAAATACTGAGCTGAATGGCTATTCATCAAGGGGAATATATCAATAATCTTTCAAGTAACAAAAGAGGCAAGGAGCACTATACAAGGTGTGGCCTGGGTCAGAGAGGAGCCCAATGTGCTAGATAGTCATAGGCTCAAATAGTTCAATAAAACACACACACACAATTTTTTAAAATTCGAATATTCGAATATTCACCCTTTCCCCCTCTCCCTCCCTCTCTCGATATCGTACGCCCTTAATTCAAAATTTGTGAGCGACTGGCAGGCTACCAATATGCCCCCAGTTCGCAGTAAGCCATCGCGGGCGAAAGACATCGTAGATAACCGCAAGCACCTCAAACACGTTGCTCGACAGAAAGCAAGCGTCAAGCTGGGCCCACTAACTGCCGTTCAAGAGATGAACATCGACCAATTAATCGACGAAAGTACCATAGATTGTGATATGATAGATGTTGGCAACTTTGACATTGACAAGATTCTTAAGAATCTGAAAAGACTACCTAACTCAATTCACTCCAAGCCAGATGCGACCGGAGCTGAAAATGCAGCGACGAGTCGCAACAATTTAGGGACAGCGACTACCGGACAGCATATACTTCCTCTCATTGAAGTCGCTGTGCCAGCTATGAGGCGGGCTGCCATTGCAGATGCTAACAAGGCAAAAGGCGCGGCATCTACCCCAAACCCCCTGGAACATACACCAGGAACCACAGAAGAGATTCCTTCTCCTCACAGTGGAAATGAAGGCAGGCAAACGGAGGAATGCCCCCCTGAACTCAGAGCCTTAATTGAGGCTGAGGAACGCCGGGCCGCAAAAACTGCGGAAAATGTAAAAATTTGCACTGCTGCAATAAACGGTGTCGAGAATGCTCTGTCCCCCCTATCCAAAGGGTCGAGTGTTCAATTTATAGACTCTATGAAAGTCTACATTAGAGCTGCAATAGCTCAATTTATGATCGCGGGACCAGGTACAGTCCTCCCATCACTTCCCCCACGCCCCGAAAGCCAGGCTACTGGCAGCAAGATTATAGAACGTGCTGCCAAAAAGCAGGATGAGCCACAAAGTAAAGTGACTCATGACAAAGTCTCCCAGGCCAAAACCACTTGGGCGTCAATCACCCGCACCGGTATAAAGACTCCCCCGGCAGCCACAAAAGTCGCACGGGCTATGCCAAAGGTGGCAAACTCGACGCGGCCGTCAAGAAACCCGACCACCCCAACGCAATCAGCCATGAAAGATGAGCGCTTGTTTCTTCGCCTTGGAAATGAACACCCTTGGAGAAAGCTATCACCGTTTGGTGTTAGAGAGGCTGTGGCAAAAGTGCTTGAAATTCCTCAAGCCAATATTGAGCACGTATACCGTGTTCCCACTGGCTTCGCAATTAGAGCCGAAAACCAAGAGGCACGCGCCATCATATTAAGCCTAGCTGGGTCCCTCATCCAGCAAGATGCCATACTGGAAGAAGCATCGGACCTGGGCTCACTTAGAATCGCAACAGTCCCAGTTGCCATTAATACAATAATGGGCAGAGTAATCGTCACTGAAGAGATGGTAACAGACGAGATAGTCAGGGTCACCAAGGCTGTCCCTGTAAAAGTTCGCCCACATGGGAAAAGCCGACTTGGAGCCCCATACTAGTCATGGGTAGCCCTTTTCGAAAAATCATCGATCCCTCGGCCAGGCTTCCGACTTTTCGACGACTCTGGGATTGCAGTCCGCCACCAGCCTCGTCAAAGCATCAACCAGTGCAAAAGACGCCTACAATTCCATGGCACCAGAGGCTGCTCGCGCGCCCCAGCCTGCTGGAATTGTACTTCAACTATGCATTCCATTGCGGAGTGCAAGGCACACACCAAGTGCCGCAACTGTGGAGGTCCACACAGGTCAGATAGTCGGGACTGTCTAGCTCGTCCAACAAAGTCTGGAATGGCCTCCAGGGAAAACCTTCAGACTATAAGGCAGGCTAGCCAACGCGAATTCGCAGCAGTCACTCGAGCCAAAGCAGCTGTCAAACGCGCAGAGGCAGCGATGACAGCAGCCGCAGAAGCGTCAAACACTAACCAGCCAGGTTTCAAATCGACCAACTGTTTTGAAGTTCTCATGTCCGACGCTACAGCGACTGTAGCCGAGGTCGATGAGGCATCAAATCAGCAAAAATCTTTGTGAAGGGCACCCCACGGGTCTCTTCAAGCCTCTCTCCTACTCTAAGCTTTATGTCAATAAACGTAGGTAGAGGGGGATTAACACAAAATATTGCGCTTGCCCGAGCATTTGAGCTGGGTATCGACGTGGTTCTTGTTCAAGAACCTCTGTGGAATAAACAAAAGAGCACAACAAAGGATCACCCAGGATATACCTATCATCTGCCTAACGGCGGCGAAAATGTTAGGCCGAGGGCTGTGACCTATACCCGAATAGACGATAAAAAGATATCGGCAACACAGGTCTTTCCGTATGTTGTGTCTACAGGAGACTATTGCTGGGTTGAAGTGAACGGCATTACTTTTCTCAACGTCTACAAGGCACCCAATGACTCGACAGCTATCCAGCCACTAATCAACTGGATTCCACCGCCAAACTCCGTCGCTGCTGGGGACTTTAACTCGGTATATTGGGCTTGGCAACCTGGCGTGGAACGTCCTCATGGACAAGGAGAAATGATCGAGAAATGGGCAGACAAACACCATTTGATCTGTCATATTATTGGGGAGCCCACTCACCGAGCTGGAAACACGCTAGATCTAGTTTGGAGTAATGTCGACGGCGCCCGTGCTTGGGTAGATCGTGGTGGATGTGTCACCAGCGATCACTTTCCCATCCGAGGACAAATTCCAGTTCGCAACTCAGTGATGAGACCCGAAAAGGCAAAACTCCGAGTAACAAAGGATAAGCTACCCAGATACGCCAAGGTAATTGCACAGTGGGTCAGACCACCACCAGTTCTTGACACGATCGAGAGGGTTGAAGAGTATGCCGAGGAAATTTGTTTCCATCTCACTAATGCAATCAATGCAGTAGGAACACGACCAAAAGCCCGCTGCGGCAGATCTGCTCCGTGGTGGACCCCAGAGTGCAAGGCAGCATTTTCCGAGTACAAAAGCGCGATAACTCCCTGTCAACGGGCACTCAGCGCGAAAAAGCTCCGATCAGTTGTGAAGACCTCGAAAAAGGAATTCAAAACCCAACAGGTCGAA